ACCGTGGGTCACTCACCACATGCACCCATTTGAGACCGATATGCATGACCCTGGACAAGACGGCATCTGCCGTACCTATCGAACTCCGATAGCCTCCTCCAGCAACATAGCTAGAACTGGACTCGAAACTCTCGAGGAAGACGAGATGGAGTCCCTTCTCACTCCAGAGGTTGGCATGACGACTTCATAACTTGCTGCAGCAGTCATCATCATTCCTCCCCCAGGAACCTCGGATCCTTCCCACGACTCAAGGCAACGCTTAAAAAGCATTCTGCCATATGTGGGACCAGGCTCCTTTGACAAAACAGCTCTACCAAACCCATGGGAGCTCAACACTCATATGGCCTTCAACCCCACGTGGAGAGAACCCGTGCCACGGGAAGCAGCGGATCTAGCCACAAAACTAGCATCCGACATGGATGTATGGGCAAGCTCTCTCAGAACCATCGCTGCCCGACATGGACCAACATCCCCAGAAGCAGCCGAAGCACCAGAAGCAACCATGGTCGCAGCATCAGTAGCATGAGAAGCAGCAGCAGCAAAGGCCAGAGCAGAGGCCGCAGAGGCAGCAGCAGCCGAGGGAGCAGCAGAGGGAGCAGCGGCAGCAGCAGCACTGTCGGAACCCCCAAACCCCGAACCCAAAGCAGAGATAGGTGCACCACCCTTCCGAGCACCAAGTAGCTGGGGTCCCTCTCCAAGCAGAGATACCTGGGGAGGAGGCCCCGTAGCACACACTGACTATGATTGGGGCAACATATCTCCCCAACAACCTTGGCCTAACGCACCAACCGTTAAAGGATGGGGCAGAGGCTCGCGGCTTCCCTGTGTTCGTAACCCAGCTACAAGACGTTGATGTCTCAACCACGATGAATGGTACAACAGAGGAGACGATGAGGACGACGAAGGCAAAAGGGGGAGAATTGCTCCAGACACGTATCTTCACCTTGGTCGCCCTCCTCAAGCCCTTGGAACTTGGGCAGAGTACGGTGAAATCCTTGACAAGGAAAATACACTCCTCTGGAAGCACTACCATGGATCTCCACCACCCGAACCTCACAGCCCTCACCCACTGACACCGACTCCACTCGGACCCAATGCCGAAGCTGTTATCCAAGAGACCGGAACCATCGAAGGCCCACCACTGCCTCGCCTCCCTTGCCCGGCAACAGACCCTGAAGAGCTTTCCTTACACCCTCCCTCCTCCAAGATATGGTCTTAGCTAAGATCGCCGACGTCGCGCACATTGCATGACTGGAAGTAGACTCGTAACACCAGGTAATTCTCGGTCTGTGCTAGGGGCACCCAATCATTTTCCAAGGATGCCGTGTCCTTTCACGATACCAGGAACTCGATCAGGTGAGCCCCTCGAGGGCCCTTGATTTGATGGCTGAGAATCTTTGCAGGTTCGATAGTCGGTTCGGCGAGCGGTCCGATGTTCGAGTTGGCTCGGTGGTGTGGTAATCTGCTGGTGTTGGCAATGTAGGGTCGCAGCAACTGCACGTGAAATGATGGGCTGATGTTCCAGGTGGCATGTAGCAGCAGATGGGCTGTAACGGAGGATATAATGTGGCTGATTGTAAATGGACAGTAACGGGGGCGGAGTTTTGGAAATATGGGCAGTCGAAGGTTCTGGGTATCGAGCAATACTAGATCTCCTGTTTGGTAAGTCACTGCCTGTCGATGTTCTGCATTTTGCTTAGAGATAACGTTCGCACGCTTAATGACCTCTGCTACTTGCTCTCGGGCATTCTATAATATTTCAAGAAACTGTTGGGCTCGGGGTATGGGATTGTCGATATTGGGTGCGATGGAAACTGTGGGGTTTTGTCTGTAGTTCAGGTAGAATGGTGATTGTCGAGTAATGACTAATGGGTCATTGTTATATGCGAACTCAATCAGTGGCAGTTGTGTCCCCTGAGGGTGACCCGGATGCCCTAGATATCCCTACCCGGAGGCCATGGAGGCAAAGATGGTATCTTATAGATCTACTAGCACTTACGTCGATGCAGTTCCTCCACCTAACAAACATATTCGATGGCATGTGGATCTATAAGGTGAAGCGCCCACATGGAGAGCCGCTGCAATTCAAGGCGTGGTATGTGGCTAGAGATTTCAGTCAGTGAGAGGGTGTCGACTTCTTCTAGACCTTCTCCCCTACCCCGAAGATGACTACTCTTTGGGTGCTCCTCCATATATCCGCACATCATGAATACGAGCTGCACTCTCTGGACTTCTCCACAGCCTTCTTGCAAGGCAGCCTTCACAAGCATATCTAGCTGCGGCGCCCACCAAGCTTCACCGGATCCTTCCCTCCTCGGGACTAGTGGAGCTTGCGGTGCCCTGTCTACGGTCTGCGGCAGGTGCCCCATGACTGGCACAACACTCTCCGCACTACATTCGTGGCTCTTCACTCCTAGCTGTCCTTATCTAACCTCTCGCTTTTCGTTCGTGCTGGTCAGACTCCGTTCAACACACTTGTGTACGTAGACGACCTTATCTTTTCTACTTGAGACAAAGTCGCACTGGCCTCAGTGAAGACCAAGCTACTCAGGCGACACGCTTGTACAAACCTGGGAGAGCAGCGGAGCCAACCTAGGTTTGGAGATCTCTCATGACCGTGCTGCGCGCACGGTCGCACTCTCCCGGTTCCATATGGTGCAACAGATCCTCTAGCAGTTCGGCTTTCAGTTCTCGTCAGCACAGCCCACCCCTCTACCCACAAGCTCTCAGCTCCTGTTTTTGGTGAGCTTTTGATGAGCAGGTCAAGCCTAGTGGTCCATACACAGAGCTGGTGGGGTGCCTCATATACAGTACCTGATAACATGCACTCGTCCAGATGTGGCGTACCCTTTCAGCATCCTTGCTTGCTTTGATGCGATTGGCAAACACCAACCACAACACTAGTCGGCTGCCAAGAGGGTGTTGCGGTATCTGGCGAGTACATCGGGACTAGGGCTTGTGCTGGGAGGACGGCAGCCAGTGGTCCTCACTGGATGCACAGACCGTCGTGGGGTGACGACTTGAAGACACTCAAGTCCTCTTAGGGCTACTGCTTCAGTCTTGGTGCGGGTGCGATCTCGTGGCGGTCCACTAGGTCGTCCTCTGTAGCTCAGTCTAGTTGTGAGGCAGAGATCTATGCTGGTGATATGGCCACTCAGGAGTTCCACTGGCTGGCGTTCTTGCTCACCAGCTTAGGTGAGCAGCCTAGGTTTGCCCTGGTCCGGTCACCTAATAACAGGGCCATGATCCTCCTGTGTCAAGAGGCTCGACTTGAGAGCAGGGCCAAGCACATCCAGCTGCGGTACTTCTTGTTGCATGAGTTGCAGCAGCACGGTCACGCTCGTGTAGTACAGTTGGCCCCAGAGGGCAACACTGCTGATATCTTCACCAAGGCCCTAGGGCCTCGTGACAATCAACGGTTCTGTACTCAGCTTGGTCTAGTCTTAGTTGCCCCTCCATTGCTTGTATCCTCATCTCTGCTCTACCTGTTTTGTACTTGCTAATCTATACCACCTACCTTGTTACACTTGCTGATCTCCCTTTTGGCCCTTGTCTCAGTGGGCACTCTAGTAGTGCTGCCCTGACCTGTTTGTTACATACTCCAGAGGCCAGATTAGTACCGTATTCCCCCGGATATACGCACCGCCAGGTAAAATGCACCATGGTGCATATATCCGGAGGGGTGCCATATCGGATGCGCCAATGATATGCACCCCCCCATTTTCCAGATTCTAATCTCTATATACACCCCCCTTCCCCCCCCTGTGGGAGTCTCGTGCTGACTAGGTTGACTATGCATTTTGCGTCAAGTTTACGTGAGGAATCACTTCATCACACAAAATCGACCCCTAACCTTCCGACTCATCGAAGGTCTGGTCAGCAAAGCTTTGCTGCCATGTCAGGCTAGAGAACAGATGGTCAGGATCGCCCCTGCTAGCCTGCGCGCTGGCAAACTGCAGCGAACGTGCTGCTTGGCTGACGCGTCAATCGGTTGGTAAGCATTTTTGGCGGGACCGCTCTAGTTGTTCCCGCTTGGGAGAATTCCATTCGATTGCAAATTGTTCTAACTACATCTTCATGTCTGTTTCAAAAATTTCCGTAAGAACGTTTTTAACGCACCGTGCCATATAAAAAATCCAAATAAAGCCCGTGGCTGTAATAGCAATCAAGAGGGCTGTTTAATTTCCTCTTGAACTTGGCACATGACTTGATCTTTAAAGTTAACGGAACCGAATAATAACAATCGTTTTGCAAAGCAGAATCTGACTGTGGTGGTTTGGCGACAGTTTTGCATGAAACCATTTGGTGAACAGTGCAATACGCATCATGCGACCGAATTCGTGGTTCCGTGAGCAGTGCGAATGCGAGAAGAACAGTGTTTTTTTTGGCGAACAGCAGCTGATTCTGGAATCGCAGACCTGGAAATCACATGAATTCCCCAGTCATAAAGCGCTTGTATTTCCTCATCGCAAGCTTCCCGCCCAAACCCGTCGTAGAAACTCCGTGCGATGCACACAATGTTTTTGCGCAAATCGCATTCAAATGATCGGGTCGCAACAAACAACAAAACGAGTTCTTTCGCCATTCCTCAAATCAGCAAGCTCGACTAGAATTCGTTTCGACGCACTTTTCTTGTTCAGGCTTGAACTCAAAGCTGCCTTCCATTCTATACTTAGACGGATTTCAAAGCACCAAATTCAAGTGGTTTCCAGGTCTGCTATTTTAGCCGCAGGCTTTAAACGCACCCCCAAATTTTTGGCTACGTATGGATAATCCCTATACACCACCCTTCCCTGGGTTCATTATTTTCACTGTATTTCTGTTTACATTTTTTTCTTTTCTTTAGATTTTGCCTCTTATCAGAGTGTCTCTTATCAGACTCACGCGTCACTGAGCAGTGCAAGCTCGATGCGAATCGGTTCAATGCGGTGTAGAGCTGTTACCATGCCTGGAATTCTCGTCACTCAGGCGAATGTTGCGAGTCTGATACAGTACGAGGCTCATGGGAACACACTCCTCACAGTCAACACTGCAGCGCGGGAGAATCCTGGTTGGGTCGTGAAGGAATCTGCAGCAGATTCCTTCCAGCTTTGGTTCGCTGTCACATTGTGGCGTCGAGGTTGCCACTTGCCACCACGATTTGACAGAACGTGACAACATGTGACGCATGCAACCTATGATTGTTTGCCTGCAGCGTGGCATGACGATGGTCCTCCTCACCATATACGCGATCACGTGCAAGAATCGTCGAAATTCGGCACAAAAGAACTGTCTACAACACAGTTGAATTCCAGTTCATAAACATAAAATTGTCATTCCATAGCCCCCGGGCGTTATACAAAAAGTGCCACTAATTATATACCCCCACTAAAATTTGCATCAAAATTTAGTGCCACCCGTGGATGTTTTATCCGGGGGAATACGGTATAATCCCTATAAGCACCTAAGGGCGTATATCCGGGGGAATACGCGGTAGTGCTCCCCTGTATTACCATGTCTTGTAAGACTCTGCCCCTACCAAGGCTAGGGGGTGTGTTAGGGTTCATGTATATATGTTAGAAATATATATAAACTAGAGCCTAGCTAGAGGCTATTTTTATAGGGTACAACGCAGACAAAACTCTGTTCCTGTCCATGCCTTAGTCAAATTTTCTTCCTCGTATCATGTTCCCCTTAGGGGGTTATTCATGAGTACATGGCTCCCATCCCATTATTCCCCTTGTTGAATGTACAATGGTACCTTTAGTTATTACAGCATTTGTTGCAAATTGGTCACTATTACATGCCAACCATAAGCCCTATCCACCCTACCTTGAAAAGGTCACATTAGATAGATACCGTATATTTCTTCTACTTGCAAAACATCCCTCCTCCTCGGCTCTTCCTTCCCCCATCTTTCACCACCTCCCTTCACGCCTTCCCTTTACCTGTTTTCCTTCTCTCCAGTCTTCAAACCTCCCCCCTCCTCCTCCTTCCCCCCCCCCCCCCCCCCCCCCCCCCCTCCGCCATGCTATGGAAAACAGACGATCTGGAAAAAAGCCATCACCGTAAGTGGTCAAGTCAAGTTGTTAGCTCCAGTCCTCTCCTTCACCTGCTTTCCTTACATCCACTCCATCCATGTCCCACGCCTGCATACCTGCAGCACCAGACGAGAACCCCATATCATGTCCTAGTGGTGCTGCATGGTCGTACGACCCCTCCACTATGACAAGCACACTCCTAGTGTCTGTGAATGAACCCGGTATGTGCTCCGCGCCGCTTGCCAGCTGGCTTGGCGTGGGGACACTGCGCAAGGCAGTGGTTCCTTCATCGGCGTGTGAGCTGCTGTAGCCAGCGCCGAGCGGCTTTGGAGAACTTGTGCTGCTGCAGCTGTGCTGCTGATGGTTCAGCTGCTGGGTGCTTGTCTCCTGAGGGACAATAAGCTGCTGAGGCTGCTGTGGCTGCTGCTGATGGTGCAGCTGCTCATGTGGATTTTGCTGCTGCAGGTGATGGTGCTGCTGCATGGTGTCCTGATACCTCTGCTGATTCTTTTGCTGCACTTGCTGCACTGCTGTTGGCATCGATGTCAGCCATTCATTTCTTTGTGCCTCATCTTCAGCGGCAGAGAAAATGCCCCTGCTTTCATAATGGATATAAAGACTCGCTTTCTCCTCGAGATCAACACCATCCCCCAAACCACCACTACTTGCCATAGCAGCAGCATCTGTCATCACGGCATTATCCGCAATTGCAGAACAGGAAGTAACCATGCCACATGCATTGCTGCTCATGCTGATCCCAGGGTCATAGCTGGCCGAACGAGCACATTCACACGTGCAGCATGGAACAAGAGGCTTCACTTCTGATTGCTGAGGGTGAGGCTGCTGCTGGTGCTGCTGATGCTGATGCTGATGCTGACGCTGATGCTGATGCTGATGCTGATGATGATGCTGCTGATGCTGCTGCTGCTGCTGCTGCTGCTGCTGCTGCTGCTGCTGTTGCCACTGCTGCTGCTGTTGCCACTGCTGCTGCTGCTGCTGCTGCTGCTGCTGCTGATGCTGCTGCTGCTGCTGCTGCTGCTGCTGTTGCCACTGCTGCTGCTGTTGCCACTGCTGCTGCTGTTGCCACTGCTGCTGCTGCTGCTGCTGCTGCTGCTTCTGCTGCTGCTGCTGCTGCTGCTGCTGCTGCTGCTGCTGCTGCTGCTGCTGCTGCTGCTGCTGCTGCTGCTGCTGCTGCTGCTGCTGCTGCTGCTGCTGCTGCTGCTGCTGCTGCTGCTGCTGCTGCTGCTGCTGCTGCTGGTTCTTCTGCAACTGGTGCTGATCCTGCTGCTGTAACTGCTGCTGCTGCAACTGCAGCTCCATGCCCAGGAGATGCATGAGATCGGTTCCCTGCAGCATCTGCTCGCATGGCCCCAGGCTGCACTCCTCGTCCAGCAACTGATTCAGAACATCCATAGACGCCCCAGACAGTCCAAGTCCGGACATTCCCGCCACTCCGGCCACTCCAGGCAGGCCAGACACGTCAGGTATGGCAGGTATAGCAGGCACGTTAGACATGCCAGTTTCTTCCTGCACGAGTGACACTTCCGGGGTCCTGCCATCACCCATCCCTTGCACGCGTGGCATACCACCCACGCCTTGCACCAGAGACACTCCCGGCATTCTGCTGACTTCCTCCACGAGTGGCAGCACAGCCGGCATGCTGCCACCACCCATCATCCCTTGCATCCCCAATGCTCCTGCCATCCTGCTGACATCCTTCGCGAGAGGTAAGTCAGCCACTCGCCCCCCTGGTCCTCCTCCTGCCGACAATGTGGCTGTTAGGGGGGGGGGGGCGGTTGAGATTGCGAATGCAGGTGACTGTTGAGTCGACTCGAAAGTTAATTTGGGTGGTGCAGGTGTGAGAGGGAGTGGGTTGGTACGGTTTGTGAAGGGCGGAAGTGGGAGGGGAGTGTGGGTGCATGCAGGCGGGGAGGAGAGAGGGGTGGTTGACTGGGAAGTGGTTTGGGGGGAGGGGCTTGGGCTGGGAGGAGGGAGGTTGGAGATCTGCTGCCACAACTGCTGCTGCTGCTGCTGCTGCTGCTGTTGCTGCTGCTGCTGAGGATGCTGCTGCTTCCACTGCGGAGGCCACTGCTGCTGCTGATGCCGTGGCTGCAACGGCATCATCTGTTCACGCGGAGAGCCCTGTGGCACCTGCCACTGCTTCTGGGACTGCTGCTGTGAGTGCTGCTGTGGGTGCTGCTGTGAGTGCTGCTGTGAGTGCGGCTGTGATTGCAGCTGTGAGTGCTGCTGTGAGTGCTGCTGTGAGTGCTGCTGTGAGTGCTGCGCTTGGAGCTGTTGCTGCTGTGACTGCAGCTGCAGCGGCTGATGTTGCTGTTGGTGCAGTGGATGGCTTTGCTGCTGCTGCTGTGGCTGAATGTGCAGCTGACACTGCAGCTGCTGCTGATGCTGCTGCAGTTGCTGCGGCGGCTGCGGCTGCCACCGCTGCTGCTGCTGCATCTTCTCGTTCTGCGTTGCCTGAAAAGGCATCATCTGCTGTGGCAGCTGCTGCCCCTGACTTCCCACCTGTGGTCCACTCTGCTCCCACGGGCCACTCCCCTGCTCTGCACCCACGCCTTGCACTGCGTGCTCCGCCTGAAAACCCACCTCTGAGGCGGCACAGTCTGCCCCCGAACCAGGCCCACCATACAGCACTGGCCCAGATTCAGCAAATCTAGTCATGGCCCCACCGGCTGCCGTCGGCATTGGCACTGACCTTCCGGTAATGGAGCTTCCCCAGTGGGAAGTGTCAAGACCACAGTGCAGTGATCCGCCCACCTCACCTGCAACCACATGCGTTGGGGTGTGTCTAGGGTTTAGGGGAGCGTTGCTTGGTGGCATGGTGGGGGGCGCTTTACTCCTGCTTGTCTCTTGACGGATGGTGGACGCCAATGCTGCAGCTGAAGAAGTAGCAGCAGCCGAAGCAGCAGCAGCAGGAGGCGGGGACGTGCAGAAGCTTCTGATGGCGTCAAGAGACAAGCTGGGAGACAGAGCAGCAGCAGCAGTGGTACCAGCAGCAGCAGTGGAAGCAGCCACAGCAGCCGTAGAGGCAGTGGCGGGGGCAGCGGGTGGGGGAGTCGCTTGCTCGCTTCGAGCATCCAATGCATCTTGTGGGTTTCCGGTGCTGCTGCGGATGCCGCTGGGAATGCCACTGGGAATGCCACTGGGAATGCTGGTGGGAATGCTGGTGGGATTGCTGCTGGGTGCACTGCTGCCAGTATGAGTGGTAGGGGCGGTTGGCTTGAGGGTGAAGGGCTCGCTGTGCATCAGCGGTGGGTGGTTGTGGTCGCCCACATAGGAGAGGCCGAGAGGGCCGTCGGATGACATCTTGTTGAAATCCACAACGCGCTTCGCCTGGCACTCGTGGGAGGAATCGCGCTGGGCGCAGCAGAAGTAGTGCCTGGAGAGTAGAAGGAGGGAGAGGGGGATGGGAGGGACGAAGGAAGGAGGCATGGAAGCAGGGATGCATGCAGGGAGGCATGAAGAGAGGGAGGGAGGAGAGATATTGGGGCTCAGTGTGCAGCAGCAGCGGATGGTTGTTTTCTCCCGCGTAGGAGAGGCCGAGGGGGCCGTCGGATGAGACCTTGTAAAAATCCACGATGCACTTCGCCTCACACTCATGCGAGGAATTGTGCTGCGCGCAGCAGAAGTAGTACCTGGAGAAAAGGCGGTGGAGGGGGATGGGGTGAAGGGGAGAGAGGGAGGAATGACGAAGGGGGGAAATACCGAGAGAAACATAAGAGCGTTGGAAGAGATCTCATTAAAACCCACGGGATCCCTCGTAACGACTCCTTCTGTCCATAGTGCCTATACTTTAGCCGCATGCTAGCCGTCTCGCGACTCTTTTGCCAGCTGGAATAGTACCGGCAAGCCTCCTGGTGTAGGTCCTGCCTGACAGCTCCGTCTGACTGTACTTGAGCCACACACAGCCATTACAGGGCAGCCGGTGCTCGAAGAGAATGAGCCTGGGCCAGCATTCACCAGATTGGGCCTCATGGCGTCCATGCAGAAGCCCCATTGGCCAGCTTGATCCAGAGCCTTACCTGGTGTAGATGCCGCCCGACAGCTCCTTCTGCCCGTACTTGAGCCACACGTAGCCGTCGCGCGGCAGCCGGTGCTCGAAGAGAACCAGCTTGGAGCGCTTCTTGCCTCGCCTGCTTCAGACGCACAGAGAGGGATTGACGAAGGGAGTGAAGTGGTGGAATGGAATGGGGTGGGTTAGGAGTGGAGTCAGACTTATGCTGCTACCGTCGCGTGGCAGCCGGTGCTCAAAAGAAAACTGCTGGGAGCGCTTCTTGCATCTTCTGCTTTGGGAAGCTGTTCATGGGGAGGAAGAGTGGGAAAAAGAGTCAGATGCAGAGAGGGGTTGTGGGAAGGAATGGCATTGGCTGGGCTGGGCTGGGCTGGGCTGGGCTGGGATGGGATGGGATGGGATGGGATGGGATGGGCTGGAAAAGGGGTGGAAGCATGCTCCAGCTGTAACGAGGCAGCCGGTGCTTGAAAAGTCCCGAGGTTGGACCGCCTCTTGCCACTTTTGCTTTGGAAGCCGTCAAGAAAGCGAGGAATGGAGGCAGGAAGTGGTGAGAATAGGAAGTGGAGTCAGACATGTGCGGTAGTAAGGTGCTGGCATGGAATAGAATCGCATCAGATGGCATGGAATGGCATGGCATGGCAAGGAATGGCATGGAATGGGATGAGCGATAATTCAAATGGTGGGAGCAAAGGGGAATATATACAGCAATCCAGGTGGCTTGATCAGAGGACGGTGAAAGGATGGGCTGACAGGATGTGGCTCAACGGTGACTGAAGAAATAAAAAATGGCCTCAATCGGTGCAGATCGGTGTAGGAGGAAGATTACTAGTGACTAAAGTGCGCCAATGCCAGCCAGAGGATAGGCATAGGTGGGCCTGGGGATGGCATTGGTATAACCTAGAGGGCCTGGGGATGGCATAAGTAGAGCCTAGAGGGCCTGGGGATGGCATTAGTAGAGGCTAGAGGGCCTGGGGATGGCATTAGAAGAGCCTAGAGGGCCCTGGGAATGGGCACAGGTTCCGGTGAGTAGGGTTTTTCGTCCCTGGAAAAACATTTTTTCTCCAGATGAGCATGTGTCGAAGCTTGCTTCAGCAGCAGATTACGCGGTTCGGGAGCTCGCAGCATTGAATGCGGCAGGAATCACGCGGGCATGGTCGATGCGGCAGCAGATGCGAAGGCAGAGCATGCAGCGAAGCACTCAGCAGCTGCTCAAGGTAACTCCGGAACTACATCACGTACATGGAATCCAACGACTCACCTACATTGTAGCTAGTTGTTCGTATAGCAAGGCTGACGTAGCTACTCTGTACCTACTGTACACCTACACCCTATTTTGGGTCCCGGTTTAGCCGCTTCTCATGCGGCCTGTTTAAGTTGGACCATGGTGAGATCTACACATTTAGCCGGGCTGCTATGAAACCGCATTGCGGCAGTCACTCAGATGAGGCGTCGCGGGCTTTCACCTGGAGTTGTGCGTTTCCGCTGCGCCGGCAGCTGCTGAGGCGGCAGAGCCTGAGAGGCCAGCGTCTGTCGCCGCCGGCGCGCAGCTAGCAAGCGGCGCGCTAAGGGTTGATCCACGACCGTCCGATTCTTCTATCGAAGCAGACGAGCGTTTGCTAGTCGATCGTCGTAGGAGTGGCTGACGTGGCGGCGACGCAATGCCGGCATTTTCAGTGAGAGTGGCACCCGGCTGAGATTCGGAATGGGTGGGGGATTTAGTAGCGGAGCGAGTCACAGTCACTGCCATATCGACTGTTACAGAATCTATTTTTTTCTGCTCGTTTGTAATTCGTAGAGCCGCATCGTTTTCTGTCAGTCGCATCGTCAAGATACAGGCGGACAGCGAGAGTTCCGACAATAAGTGAAATAGTCTAATCCGTTCCTCGCGACAGACATTGTGTACTGCATTGTCCTGACTCCGGCATTCAGCCTGTTGCACCAGAAATCAGATGGCAAGCTAACGAGCTGTCAACTACTCGCTTACAAGACCTTGTAAGGGGGGGAAAGTTGTGCAAGGATGGAGAGGGACTGTGTCCGCCAGGAGGGTCTTGAAGGAAGCAGTGCGAGAGAAAGGGATGGAAGGACGAGATAGAGTTTTGTTTTGAAATGCCCTGTGGAGATTGTAAGGCTCGATTCCAAGGTCACGGAGACGGACCAAAGTTTTGCTTCTACACCTGTTTTACGAAACAAGCACCCTATTTGAGCGTGCGGCGCAAAACAAAAACCGAAAGATTGAGCCTATGGGCAAAAGGGACATTAGAGTGAACAACTTGTGCTCGAAATCATTAGCGTTCTCGCCTTTGTTGTCTTGTGTGATTGCAACCAGGTTACCATT